CTGGGCATTGGCCGCGGAGGGCGCCAGGAGCAGCACGGCGACGAGAGCGAACAGCACGGTAAAGCCGATCAGGGACTGGGTGCGGGCCATGGCTGGTGTGTAAGGTTGGTGGGAACAAAGAACAAAGAAGAAGTGCCTGGCGCCGGAAGAAATACAGTCTAAACTGGCGATTGGCGCACTGCTTCCGAGTTTCGGGGCCGGCAGACCAACCAAGGAATGGGTGACTATGTCTAATCCTCCGGGAAAAGTGTGATGCCCATTTATTTTTTTAATTGTCCGCCCAATCACAGGAAACTCAAAATGGCCAGCCCAGAAGATCTCTTTCTTAAAAAGAACACATAGCATAGGCCATGGAGGGCACCACTCCATCCCTGCCTTACTCCTCTGCCATGAAACCCACCCATCTTCTCAAACTGGGTGATGTACACACTTCTGGAGATTGTTGTAAGCACTCTGAATAAAATCTGACACCAATGTTAAGGTGGCACCATTTCGCACCTTATTCCTTACCACCTTAAACATGTGACTGACTGCAATCATGGACACAGAAGATCTTGTGCTGGTGGTGGAAACCCATGGGGGGCGAGTGGTGTGCACAACAGAAACACACAAAGAAAACTATTTTCTCTCGCACCTCTGGCATGGGGCTACCACAGCGTGCTTGTGGTGCCATGAAAAAAGACACCACTAAACAAGAACAGGTGCAACAAATTGGACCAATCAAATCACTCCCTTGTGACTCTCTGTTTTAATTCAGCCAGCGACCAATCAAACAAGGGTTCTGTTCTTCACAGACTTCCCTTCCCAACGCCCATGTCTCTCGGCGACCGCCCACACAGAAAGCCAAACTTCTTCTTCTTTCTTCTTGACTTGTCCATTACTCCTGCCCAGCTCAGCCACTCCCCCCTTGTACTATCACCACACCACAGACCCAAGGTCGTCATCACACCATCATGAACCGTTCTGGCCTTGTCTCACCAGTCCTGATCTGGCTACCTGGCCTGATCGTACTGGTGCTGTTGGCCCTGACCACCACCCCGACGGCCGTGCACGGCTTCGGCTTGAGCTGCACGGCCAACAGCACGGGCGATTGGGACGTGGCTGCCACCTGGATCAACTGCAATGACTCCACGCCGGGAGAGGGCGACAGAGCGAACATCGCCACGGCTGAGGCCTACGTGGTCTCCATCCCGGCAGGCGTCAAGGTCAACGTGCAGGGCGTCTTCATCGCTAACTTTGGCCGTCTCAGCAACAAAGGTATATTTCTTATCTTTTTTAACAATCATCTTTTTCTTTTTTCATAATCATTTCATTACCCATCCAAGGCGCCCTGCGTGCGGTTTGGATCGAGGTAAACTCTGGCGCCCTGCGCTCGACGGGCTCGCTCGAGTTAGTGGACACCGACAGAAACAACGCCTATCTGTACTGCCGATATGGGAGTGTCGAGATCTCTGGCGACCTCACCATTACCAGCCTTTCCCAAGGTGATCCCTCAGCCCAAAAGTCTTTTAATTCACATCTGTGTAGTGGCCATTGTACTAATTCCTCTAATCTATTTTTGTACACTTTAATTTGTTTCAATAATCTGCCTGTTTTGATTGATTATTGTTCCAATCTAATTTTTGTCTTTAACTCTTTCTTTTTACGTGATGTGCGTGCAGCCTCTCTGGAAGTGTCCGAGAGCGAGGCCACGTTTGGCGGGTCGATCAATGTCACCGCGGGCCAGTACGCCCAGGCCTACGCGGCTGTGCTTTCCAACTCGCGCGTGAGCGTGGCGGGCGACGTCACCGTGCTCGGCGGTTGCTACGATTACAACGACAAGAAGCGTGAGACCAACAACGAGAATGACGACTCCGTCGTGGAGGGAGGCGAGAAGCAGAAGAAGAAGAAGCGTGGCTTCAGCCTTGATGGCTCTGGCCTGGCCGTGGACTACGACTCCTTCCTCCAGGTCCGTTCCTTCGCCCGTGGCCTCCTCCACAACCACTTCCTTCCATGAGGACCCACTATGAGCTTCATGGTGTGAGCTCACCACCACCACCACCACCACCACCACCACCACCACCACCACCACAACACACAACAAACAACACCAGGTGGGCGGTGATGTGAAGCTCACCACGCGCGACTTCACCGACAACTCGACCACCGGCTCGACGCGCGAGGTGAGCCTCTACTTTGACGGCGGCGACGTGGTCATCGGCGGCGATCTGCTGGTCCAGTCGGGCGACAGCCTCCTCGCGGACACCGGCGACGCGTCCATTTCCACCGGCGATAGTCTGCTCGAATTGGTTCAGAATGGGCGGGACCCCGCGGAGTATGAAACGGGATCCCTCGTCGTTGGCGGTGCGCTTCTTC